TATTCTTATTATTAGTCTTATTATTATTATTATTATTATGATTATTATTATTATCTTATTATTATTATTATTATTATTATTATTATTATTATTATTATTATTATTATTATTATTATTATTATTATTATTATTATTATTATTATATTATTATTATTATTATTATTATTATTATTATTATTATTATTATTTATTATTATTATTATTATTATTATTATTATATTATTATTATTATTATTATTATTATTATTATTATTATATTATTATAGAAAGTTCAAGGAGCCTAGAGGATCCGAGGTGTAGGAACACTGTTGTATTGCTAACAATCCGACAATTCTGAAAAATTATTGCTCAAATACTCGTTGATCGAGTAAAATGCTATAGTAGTCAGATAAGCATTAATTTTATTTTTAAAAACTTTCGCATCCAGTTTCTTTATACGGTCTGGCAACAGGCTATAAAAAACTATCCCATAATAGTTTGTGCCGTTTCTGATGGTTTGGAGACGGCTATGAGGTACTAAGATTTTATTCATATTTCTGGTTCTATAACTGTGGACATAACTGTGGGTAGTATATTGGCTCAGGTTAGTCTTTATATGACATGTCAAGATGTAAAAAGAAGGCACTGTCATGATTTTCAATTCTATAAAAGCTTCCTTGCAAGGTTCCGTGTATTTGAGGGCAGCAACGTACCGCAAGCAAAGTCGTTGTAATCCAAAAACTTTTGAGGAATGGGCCGAGTGACCCCAGTTTAACAATGTGTATGAAATTCTTGATTGAAAGTGGGAATAATATGTTAGAAGAAGAACTGACTGAGAGACATTTTGTTTCAAGTTCCTTATCAAATAAATATATATTGCTAATGCATCGAGAACATGGATTACGTGACTTTCCCACGACAAGTGTTCATCAAGGTAGACCCCTAGTAACTTCACGGACTTTAGTGTATTAGTGTCGTGCTCCCTCAAGCTAAGAATAATCATCTGAGCTGAGACTTGGTTTCATTGATGGTCAACTTATTAGTGTTTGCTAGTTTTTTTGATGAGCCTCACTGTCGAATAGCAATGAGGCTAAAGAGGCATTGCTATTCATCAAGGTAGTGTCATCAGCGAATAGGATTAAGTTATTATTCACATTATAGTTAGTCATATCATTGACGTAAACTAAAAATAAAATAGGTCCTAATACCGAGCCTTGCGGTACCCCGTGAGCAGCGACTAACTGTGAGGATGATGAACCTTTAAAGAATACAAATTGGCGTCGATTACTTAAGTATGATTTAATCATTGCAGTGGATGCTTCAGGAAAGTTATGAAAAGGGAGCTTTTAGAAAAAGGATGTCGGGTTGAACACAATCAAAAGCTCTGGATAAGTCCAACAAACATGCTTCGCCATATAGGTTGTTTTCAAAAGTCTCGTTCACAAACTGAATAAAACTGTTAATAGCTGATGTGGTGGAACTATTTATCCTAAAACCAAACTGTGCTGCGCAAAATAAATTATAAGCCTCAAAGTATTCATTAATTTCATCATTCAACAATAATTCCAAAATTTTCGCAACAATAGGCATTAAGGAAATGGGCCTGTAGTTGCATAAATCTTCAGTATGTGTTGTTTGAAAATGGGTATAATTTTAGATGGTTTGAAAAAATCCGGAAAAGTATTACTTCCTATACACTGATTGAATAACTTGGTTAGAGGATATATGATGAGATTTTGCAAGGTTTTGACAATCTTGACAGTAAAGCCATATGGGTCAGTACTCTTTGAGTTTTTTAGTTTATTTATGGCAGTTCTCATATCATGATATGTAACTTCCCTGAATCGAAAGTGTGAACTATGAGTAGGATGATTCATATAATGCGATGGAGAAACAGCGGATGGGGTAATTTTATTTAAAAGTGTTTGTGAGATATGGGTAAAAAAGTCGTTGAATTGATGTACTGTGAGAGATGTTGAGGAGTCCTGGTTGTGTGTGTTCGGTTTAACATTCTTTATGATACTCCAAGCAGCATGTTGTCTGTTGTTGAATTTATTAATGTAGTCATCGTTGGCTTTAATCTTAGCTTTGACAATTTCTTGTCTGTAACTGTATTTAAATTTTTTCAAGCAGTCCATACTAACTAAAGTAGCATCGTCTTTATGAAGCTCTGTTAGGAAAGTCAAAGTCTCTTTCATATTTCTTATATGATTATTGAACCAATACACATTACAGGAGCTTTTATTATCATTAACAAGTCGCGATTTTATAGAAAGATGTTGATTGACCGAAATTCTGACAATAGATATGAATTTTTCAACTTTGTATTCGATTGTCGTACTTTTTTCATTAACAAATTCGAAATATGTTGATTCCATATCATTGTAAAGTTTGAAAAGGCCGGTGTTTGTTATAGGTCTATAATAGATTTTCCTACGTACTTTCGGTACATGTGATAAATTAAAAGTATAGTCAAGCGCTTAATGATCTGAATAATGAGTATCAAAAATATTAACGCTATTTTCTGAGTCTACGTAGTATATGAAGATGTTATCTAGACAACTTGAGTTTCTTGTATTTTGACTAACTATTGGCATGAAACCATAACAACTAGATAATTTCACAAGCTCATGAGCTTGGTGTTGTAAGGTACTAAATCTAACATTAAAATCTCCTGTTATCACAATTTGTTTGCGGTAATCGAGTTCATCCAATAAGCGACAAAGTATTCAAAATTACCATCAGGAGATCGATACAATGAGATTAACTGAAGATCATTCACATTTACTCCGACCGCCTCAAAGTGTAGTTCTTCTGACAGATTCAGAAGGTTATCTGATAGAGGTACGGCATTAACATGATTTGCTATATAAATAGCCACACCACCACGAATTTTCACACCCCTACAGAAAATAGATACAGATCTAAGAGCAGAGATATGATAATAGGATAACTCATCTTTTCTTAACCAGTGTTCATTTATAGAGAGTATTGTATATTTATTCTTTTCACACAGTGATTCGATGATTCTTGACTTGTAGCGAAGACCTTGGATATTTAGATGCAATAGTCTAAAGAGCACATTACTGTTTTTTACTGTTTTAACAGATCGTGGTTTAGGTATTGTATTATTCTGTTGTTTATCTTCCCTAATGGGTGCTTTACTTAAGAAAATACTGTTTTTCAGACTTGTCGGGGATGTTGATTTGTACAGTTTTCAAAGGCAATACATTTTTTAATTGTTCAAAAATAATATCCTTCACATGCTGGATGATTGTCATTTTTGATCCCGGAACTCTGATGTCATAGAATAGGCTCAAAGAATAGTTTCTATTTAGTTTCATAACATTGGTTACTCGGCCCAGAGGTAAGAGGCAATGTAAACCTTTGTTTAAGTATGGGATGTTACTTATATTGTTAGAGTTGATCATGAAGATTACAAAATCGTTCTCACCAAGAGATTTTGTAATGTTAAATACGTTTTTTATGTTATCTACAAACTCTAAATGAGGATGAACGTAAGCTTTTATGGAAAACTTTGTCGTCGATGTATAATTCTAACACTTTTTTGAAGCTTTTTTTCATATTCGTCACCAATTATAATGATTTTCCGACAGCTGTCTGAGGCATTACGTTGCGGTGGTCCTCCTGATGGTACTATATCGATTATTTATACATCATCGAATTCTATTGGAGTTTGTCTTACAGATTCTGCTGCTACTTCGCGGTCTAACTGGGGTATAGGGGAAACGTTGGATGTACATTGGGCAAAAGTCGCTGTTTGATGTTTGTCGAATTCATTTTCTATCGGCTGGCTTTTACACATATCGTTTGTCTTCATTTGGAAACTTCTGGCCCTAATATCATTCGCAACAGGAGACTCTTCCATCAGAAGTGAGGTTGTCAGTTCCTGCAGTGTACTGTTTTTTGAGGATAAATATGCAAGTTGTTGCTCTATATTTTGTATTTGACGCTTGTAAGTCTGTATCTCGTCGTTGTATTTTTTTTCAATTTCAATCACATCATCCTCAAAGGCCAGTGAACGTTTTTTCATAGAGGCAATATATTTATCCTTCTCTATAATCTCTTGTTGTAATTCACTTATTATTTCTTTGGTAGTGTTATCCTTCTCCATTTCTTCTTCACCTTTTCCTTGACAAGTCGTACTAGAGTATATCATATGCTTGGCAATGACAATTACGTCATTTCGTTTGTTGCAGCCACTGCGATGAAAAATTTGTTTATATGTTATGCACACATAGTTGGATAGCTCTTTGGTTTTACAACATTCGAAATAATTCGGCATCTTCGTTTCTTGTATTGTATCGATAAGTAACGTTACAACGAAATATTGTACTGTGTCGTATTATTCGTGTCGCTTGGAAACTAGGTTTTATAGGAGTAGCACCTCGACTATATGTTTACTTTACGTACGCAATGTCTGTTGTATGTATTGTTGGCAGTGGTTTTTGGGTTATAAAAAAACTGTGTTCCTTCTGCTGTTAACGATAACTAAACTGAATCCAAATTCAAGATGAGATGTAAATAATAACAGTTAGCGCGTGATCTCTCGGTAACAGGTGGGGACAACGCCTCTTGTTGGTCAATTCGCCATTAAATTTCAAGCGGTCGTCAGGCGGAATAATGCGCAAGGCAGGGGCAGGGCAGGCAGAGTTACATTCAGGCCACCGACCGTCGCGTGTAGCACTGCGTGCTCGTGTTTTCGTATTCACCTTGCTTGGTTGTTGCTGTTGTTGTTTGTTATTGTTATTCCTCGTTATTATTCGTTTTGAACCAATCCTGAACATGTCCAGTACAGATACTGCTGACGAGGCTGTAGACTACTCCCTTAGCCCTCCTAGAAAGCGATAAAAAAGACATCTTAGCGTAGACATGCAAGACGTCATATTGAATACATTCAAGATAGAGCGGAAGGAAGACGAAACATCAACTAACCCGAAAACAGCTCCGAAAGTGGCAGATAAAATTGGGGTATGCCAAGCGACAGTGTACAATGTTTTGAACGAATATAAGAAAAAGCATGCCTTTTCCAAGCCAATGACGGGTAAAAATCGCAAAAGTATCATAAGATCGTTGCATGACGCTGACAAGCATGCCAACCGGAGGAAAATGCACGAGTTCTTCTTCAGAAACGAAATACCGACAGTTGATAAAGTACTACGGGAGGTTAACGAGGATGCTATGTTACCAAATTTCAAACGTTCGACTATTCATAAACTTTTGAAGCATCTTAATTTCAAATGGAAGAAACGAGGTCGTAACAGCTTACTAATGGATAGAGAAGAAATTGTTCTGTGGAGGAGAGAGTACCTGACCAAAATTAAATCATTAAGGGATCAGCACAGGAAGATCTATTACCTGGACGAAACCTGCATTAACGCTGGGCACACTACTCCGAAGGTATGGGTTGACAAAATTGTGACTTCATCAAGAAGGGCATTTCTAGATGGACTGTCGACCGGATTGAAAAATCCAGCAGGTAAATAGATCGAAGTAGTTCACGGTATCAATTTTTGCGGACAATATCTCTCTATCTTCGTACCTACAAGACGTGCATGTATCCTTAGCGGATTTTATCTTTCTAGGCAAAGGAAAAAGACTCATCATTTGCCACATTGGGGGTGTAGATGGCTTCGTGGATGACGGCTTATGGTCTTTTGAGTAAAAAAAAAATACTGACTACCATGAAGAGATGAATGGGGAAGAATTCGAGAAGTGGTTTTCAGGCATTTTACCACGTCTGGAAGACAATTCTGTGGTTGTTTTGGATAATGCTCCCTATGATTCTCGCAAAATAGAAAAAATCTCAACTTCAGTTTCTATGAAATCAGGCATTCAGGGCTGCCTCCATTCCAAAAATATAACTTTCGACCCTTCCTTACTGAAATTACAACTACTAGATATTGTGAAACAACACAGACCAAGACATGATAAATATGTCATAGATGAAATGGCCAAAGCACACCACAAAACAGTACTCCGTTTGCCGCCTTACCACTGTGAGCTCAACTCCATTGAGCTGATATGGGCAGATGTTGAGAATTTTTTTGCTGCACACAATACAACATTTAAATTTTCTGACATGCAAGAGCTGTTCAGAATTGCTATACAGAGGGTCACATCAGAAAGATGGCAAAAATGTGTGCAGCATGTTCAGGAGGAAGTGGAGGTAGCAATGTGGGAGCTGGAAAACATAATTGAGAGATATTTTGAATCCATCATCATAAACATTAATGACGATAGCTCTTCAAGTGAGTCTGAGTAAGTTTCGCATTTTTGTTTTCTCACAGAATACATATTATGGGAATCCTAGTTATAGTGAAATATTAACTTACAGATAAACTACAGACAATGCAAGTCCGAAGTGCACCTTCAAAATCTATTTTCAATTGATTGAACAGCCTTATATTTATTCCATGTACAAATGTGTCATCTCTACCCCTCGTTGACTACGGATTCATTGTGCATAGTGAGCAGCTGGTCACCTCTGGTATGTATTTCGCCGTGTTGTCTAGTTTGAAAAATCTGTAGAAAAACTTAGCACCCCTTCAAGAATAAAAATTTGATTTTGCGACACCCTTAACTATAACTACTTCACTATATTAGATAATTTCGTTAAATACTGTCATCTTTGTTTTACAACACGTTGGTGGTAGTCCATCATTCGGAGGTAGCCCTGAATGCGGCCCTGTACGCCGTCCTTGCTTTTGGCAATCACGCATCCATTCTATCTTGGGTGTAAATACACTATAGATGTGCAATCATACCTCTTCATACGAGAACTATTTACTTGAAGAGTTTGAAGTGTGTATGCATTCACTTTGTACACAAACTGTTCGAAAACACGAAATTTTTACACAACTTTTTACTATGTTTTTCAACAGAAATTGACACACACACAGATGGAAAAAGAGCAGTATCACTGGGTAATTCCAAGACGCCAATGACGCCCAGTATCCAGCAAATTGGCGATTTCTGGCGATTTTTAGCATTCTTGATGCCACTTAATTTGTAATCTATTTTTGCCGATATAATAATAATAATAATAAATAGCCTTTTTTTGGGGGGCGAAGTTAAGCATAATGCTACTCTGCCACTTAACCTACCCCCAAAACAGAAAAAGAAAAACTGAAAAACAATACAAAAAACATAAATGCATTTGATGGGTTGCAAGTTTAAAAATGTAGGTGTATAAAAAGTATGATGTTTATAACATATATAAGTGAAGGCTATTCAATATTTCATGAGTTAAAGGTATAAAATTGTAACAGTTGTACAAACAAAGGAATGCTATATTGGAAATATTTTTGTATCAGGTGACAGATAAATTTTATCGAGTAATTTATACACTTCTATGTATTCGAAATAAATTTCTTCATATGTCTTTTAAATTCATCATATGATAGCAATTTGGTGAATCGAGGTATAGCATTGTAAAATAATTGTATAGAATAATGGAACATGAAACGAGGACCAGTGGAAGTTCTGTGCTCTAAACACAATGGATCCGGCCCATGTGAATGAAATTATAGTTTCGTTCAGATTACACGTGTCTAATAACTCTCCACCCATCCCCCCCCCTTTTCAAGAAATTGTTTATTACCATATAATATTATTATTATGTCGAACTTCCCTCACCTCCGCTCTGCAGTTAACAGGCTGGCTACTATCCCCTTCCACAAATTCATTCCAAACTCTAACCTGGCGTGTTATGGTTGACACATAGTTATTGCAAAGATTAGCGATTTCTGGCGATTTTCACATCAAAACTTTGCGACCAATGTGGACGGTGCGGCGGCAGTTTGGTGGTTTGCAGGAATGCAGGTACGCGCGCCCTTTCCCGCAAGCCCCTCACCGTCAAACTATCAGCAAGCTGTAGCGCGAGAACTATGCATTTTAGCAAAAAGACCTTTTTTGATGACACAAAAATTAGAAAGGTTTACATGTAAAAAAATCCCAGATATCCTCAGCCGTTTCAGCGAAAAAGAGGTTTTTTGGGTTTTACGTTGTTTTGCAAAAAACGGTTGGTTTACGGAAAACCAAATTCATACAACAATATTCGCAATCCTTTATTATACCATCACGCCAGCGGAAATAAATGTGTGGCTATGTTATCACTTTTGTGTCAGTTTCGGATATTTAGCTGGACTAACTCTGCACCTCAAGAAGACGAGTTCAGTTTATCGGATTCAACCGACTCAAGTCCACCAAAACATATTCCAACTCCATAGAAAACGATTTCAACACAATTAGTGAGGAGGACAATAGTCTTGTTATCGTTCGTTCAAAATTTCGACTTGAAAGAACAAAAATGCGTTCACAGCTACAACAAACAATTACATGATCAAACGAACTTACCTGTAAGTGATGTTCGATCTTAATTATGTGAAGTCCTCGTAGAAGTAAATATTTAGAATACATATCGTAGTACCCTCGTAGTAGTACCCAACTGCCACGATTTCAAAGCGCGCACGCAGAGAAGGAAAGCGGCATCGCGCCCCCTCCCCCTACCTTTCTCTCCTCTGGTCGCCTATAAACTTTAATTTACTTCAAAGCCAAGTTGTTGCAACAATTGGGTGATACATAGGGACGGAGGGAGCTATTTACTTCGACGAGGACTTCACATAATAAAGATAGAACATCACTTACAGGTAAGTTCGTTTGATCATGTAATTATGTTCCGTCTTCGTCGAAGTAAATATTTAGAATACATATCGTAGATGTTCAAAGCTAGTTGCAACAACATACTAACGCACTACATTAGTAAACCATAGATTGTACACAACTACACAAATTGTACGCAATGTATGTGTTAACTAAATGTACATTTCCATTGTAATAATTCAAGTTAAGGCTTTTAGCAACAGGTAATATGACGTACCTGGTTCAAAAATTACCATCCATTTCATGGTAATGAGCAAATAACGTAATAACATAAGTTATGTTTAAGGTGTGGAGACTTGGTTCACCTCAAATGCCGCTTGAGCAAAGCTATTGTTTGGCATAAGAGATTTGTGACGTATCTCAGAAAACGCACTCCAGCCCGGCGCGAGCGTGAGACTATTATAATTTATCAGGAGGAGAGGTAGACGCAATTCATGTACTGTGGGTTGTCAATTGTGACTCTGCTAAAACCGACTTCATCCATCTGGGAGCCGA